TTCAATTCCCAGCACCCACATGGTGGCCAACAACCATCTCTAATCCAGTTCCAGGGGAATCCAACGCCCTCTTCTGAGCTCCACAGGCATTGCACTACAAGGATGCATTTACACACATGCAGACAATACACCCATACATATTAAAAAAAAAAAAAAAAAAGGCCGGGTGTGGTGGTGTAAGCCTTTAATCCCAGTACTCGGGAGGCAGAGGCAGGTGGATCTCTGTGAGTTCAAGGCCAGCCTGGTCTACATAGTGAGTTCCAGGACAGCTGGGGCTACAGGGAGACCCTGTCTCAAAAAGACCAAAAAAATAAATAAAATTTAAAAAAATAAAAATACTAAGCTGGGCGTGGTGGTGCACACCTGTAGTCCCAGCACTTGGGAGGCAGAGGCAGGCGGATCTCTGTGAGTTCAAGGCCAGCCTGGTCTACATAGTGAGTTCTAGGACAGCTGGGGCTACAGGGAGACCCTGCTTCAAAAAGACAAAAAAACCCAACAACAACAACAAAACCTATGAAAAGGAGTGTGTATGAGGTAAGGGGGTTCTTTGGTTAATTAAGTTTGGAAAACATTATGAACAGCTTGGTGTAGTGGTGCACACCTTGCATTCCAGCACTGGGGAGGCAGAGATCAGGTAGGCTGATCTCTGTTGAGTTCAAGGTCAGCCTGGTGTATATAGCAAGTTCCAGGACTACAAAGTGAGATCCTGACTCAAACAAAGAGAGAGAGAGAGAGAGAGAGAGAGAGAGAGAGAGAGAGAGAGAGAGAAGAAAAACATTAGAAAACAATATATTTTCTCCTCAGAAATTATCAGTGAAAGGCTGGAGAGATAATTCAATGCTCTTCCAGAAGATTCAGATTTGGTGCCCAATACCCACATCAGGTGGTTCACAACTGCCTGTAATTCTACTCCTGGGGATCTGACTCCTTCTGGCCTCCACAGGCAACTACATGTACCTGTGTGCATACTCACACACAGACACATGCAGTGTAAATAATAAATCTTTTTAGTGCATTTTTGTGAATTTCATATAATATATCTTGATCATATTTAGAGCCCCTCCCATATCTGCACCCCTCTTATAGCCCCTCACTGGATTTCATGTAATCTTTCATATATATTAAGGTCTATTGAGACAAGTTTGTGTCCCCAGATGTCCTTTGGTATGTGTCCATCCACTGGAGATTGGTTAACCTATCTAATGTCATATCCTTAAAGACGACTGACTCTCTCCCTACAGTTATTGGTTGCCAATAGTTCCTCAGCTAAGGTTGGGGCTTCTTCCCCACGTCCTCACTTCTATGCTGGAATTTTGTCTGGCTTCAGCTTGCATGGGTTCTTGTGCATGCTGTCACCATTGCTGTGAGTTCATATGAGTAACTTCCCAGCTGTCTAGAACACACTGTTTCATCCACCATCTCTAGCTCTTACAGTCTTTCCACTCCTTCTTCCATAATGGTCCCTGAGCAGAGGTTTGATATAGGTGTCCTATTCAAGGATAAACACTCTGCAGCTGTTATTCTTTGCACTTTGGCCAGTTGTGGCTTTCTGGGTTAATCACCATCTGTTGCCTGAGGAAGCTTTGCTGGTGAGAGTTGAGAGATGTATTAATATTTTTTCCACCCCTGTTCCACTATGGTCCCTGAGCCTTAGGTACAGAGGTTGCACTGTATATGTGCCACTTAGGGTTGGGTAAAACAGTCTTTTTAAAAAAGAAATTATTAGCCGGGTGTGGTGGCACACACCTTTAATCCCAGCATTTGGGAAGCAGAAGCAAATGGATATCATCCAAGCCACCTTAATCTGCATAGCAAGTTCCAGGCCAACTGGGGCTACAGGGCAACTCTGTCTCAAAAAAAATAAATAAATAAAAAATCAATGAATATAAGCAATGTAAATGCTCACAGGAATCCTGGAACAAATAAATCTTTTATTTACTTATTTATTTATAATTTATTATTTTTATTACATGAGTGTTTTGCCTGCATGTATGTAAGTGCACCCTGTGCATTCAGACCTGATGAGGCTAGAAGAGGGCGCCCTTGGAATGGAGATACAGTACAGATGGCTGTTCACTGTTACTTGGGTGCTGAGAACCAAATATGGAAGAGCAACCAGTGCTGAGCCATCCAGCCCTGTCTTTGTTTTTTCTGAGACAGGGTCTTCCTGTAGCCCCAGCTGGCCTAGAACTTACTATGTACACCAGGCTGGCCTCCATTTCATGGAGATCTGCCGGCATCTGCCTCCTGAGTGCTGGGATTAAGGCATGTGCCACCATACCCTATGCAAAGAAATCTTTTTAAAATCTGTATTTTAAAATCTGTAAAGTCCATGCTTGACACCTAAGCATGAGAACCTGGGTTTTAAGTCTCAGAACCTACATAAAAAGCTAGATGTGGCAGTGAGCACTTGTAATCCCAATGTTGGGTAGGTAGAACCCAGAGGCTCACTGAGGCTCACTGGCCAGTCAGTATAGTCTGATTGAGTTCCTGGTCATCAGTGGCTACAGGCAGACCCTGTCTCAAAAAGACTAACAACAACAACAAAAATCTATGTGACCCAGTGTATTACAAATTTATGAGACAGTGCAGTCTTTTTCTCTCTTAAAAAAAAAAAAAATTGGCTGGGCATGGTGGCAT